AAAGTAGTCAAGCAGTGGTTTCAAGACAACCATGGTCAACATTTTGTGGAGTTGCACTAGTTTTGTCCAGAAGGAAATCAACTTTTTTTCAATACTTTTGATTAATTTATTAATTTTCGTGTACAAATAATGAACTTTGAGATGAATAAAACTTGAAGAACGTTGTCTCTAAACAGTTATATAGTTATTTCTCTAAATTGAAAAAATGAAGCACTTTTATATAAAGAAACTAAGTTAGCATTATTTGGTTGCACTATATATCAACAAAAATTATAATGTAAAAACTAATAAGAAAATAAGATTTATATCTTGTTTTAATAAAAAATTATATTAAAACAAGATTCTAATTTCTTGTCCGAAGTGTAGGATATATATTTCTTGAAACAAGAAAAGAAATAAAAAGCTTAAATTAGGAAGAATATTTCCTAAATCAAGAAATTGATTGTTCAAATAATTTCTTAAATTAGGAACTAATCTTCCTATTACAAGTTTTTTCATATTTTCTTATTTAAAGAAATAAATATCCTACACTATGAAGAAGAAATTATAATCTTATTTTAAGATTTTTTTCTTTCTTGATTTAAGAATTTTTTTTCTTTTATTTAGAAGTAAGTATTTCTTGTTTTAAGAAAAAAAGTTTATAAACTTCAGACAAGAAATAATATTCTCATTTTAATTTTTTTTATTTTCTTAATTCCCGATTTACAATTTTGTTGTGTATGAGTTGAGAAAAAACATATCTGTCACCATTTTCTTGCACTCCAACAGTATTCTTTTTTCTGGTAATTCCCAACTTGAAGAATAGTTTCTTACAGCTTTGTTGGAAAACAAACTAGATAAAAAATAAATAAATTCATTGTGTTAGTTTCATCATTTACAGAAGTTAACCGTACAATGAATAAACTTCAGGTTGAAAATTTTAAACCTAATATTCCATCTTTTAAAATTTACTTGTAACAAACTAGATATACATTTATGTTTAACGTAATGTCTTTTGCGAGCCACTAGCTATTTCCTATCATTCTAGTATACGTATTATGCAGATTATTTAAGAATGTCTGAAATATAGCGCATGCGTGGTAACTCCTAATATTGTGTATCTGAATAAGTTTTTAATTGTCGATTAAAAAATTGCTGCAAAATAAGGTTTTCATGCCTTTTCTAACATATTGCGGATGTTTTCATTTCAGTACGTGACATTAAAACATTACTTGTGTTTGATTACCGTTTTCTTATTTCAATCAAAAATCTTTTAAATAATCTAATCTAGAATATATTCTATATTTAAATATATTCTATATTTTGATCCCAGAGAGCAAAGCTCTCTGGGATACCAATTCTGAAGAAAATGTGTAAAAATGTGCAATAAAGCTATTAGGATTTTTTTCTTATCAGATTATTGTTGCTTTGAACGCCAGGTGGTGTAATTAAAAAAAAAAAAAAATAACTAATGATTCAATTACTAATTGCAAATAAAGGATAAATGAAAAATTAAGCTTTCGAAATTATATATTTAAACAAAAAGTTTACACCTTGTAAATTTTTCTGTCGAAAAGAATGAAGATAATATGAACATAGATGCAAATAATATGCATAATCATTATAACAAAGAAATTTGTAAACTCTTTTTTAGGTCTGATATATATACAGAATGCAGCATTTTTAATTTTAATACTAGAAATAGCCATGGTTTTATAGTTGATTTTCTTTATGATTTAGTTCTCTAATATATGAACATGAAAAAAATGATTTTATTGCTTTATGAGTCTTATTTTTCTACTTTTATGACTTTCCTGGACCAGCAATTGTTGACTTTCATCTTTCAGCTCAAGGAGTGCAAGAGTTAAAACAAAGTCTTAAGAGTTCTTAGTAAAAAAGCAAAAGCATGTTTTATATTTTGTATCAGTGTAGCAATAGTGATGTAGCTTTATTTTAGAACTGTGGATTATTGGCGTTTATTATTTTTTAAGATTGTTTTCTTGTCTATAAAAAAACTTATAATTCAAGACTTGATTTTACAAAAACACTCAACTAATTTTATTGAAAAGTTTACATAAACAGAGGCCATGCAATCAAAAAGAATTGTATAAAGCACAAATTTATTTAGAACGATTCAATGAAGTTATATATTTGATTCAAATTAAAATAAACAATTTAACAGAAGTACGAATTATTTGATGGAGTAATGCTTTACTTTGTTGGCACTAAAATCCTAGTTGATTTATGTTACTTTATAATTACTAAACTTTAAATTTTATTTTTTCAAATTAAAATTTGTTATTGTTTTCGTAAGTTGCATTTTTTTTCACTTTCTATGAGTATATAAAGATTCCTTTTTGTATTTTTATACAAGCACTCATACAAAAAAAAAAGTAAATTTAAAAAGATCAAAAACACTTTTGAACAAATTTATCAGAATTAAAGTTTAGGCTTTCTAAACAATTATGAAATAAGTCTAAACGTTTTTGTAAGTATGTAGTTATTTTATTTGATCGCAACTTTTAAATAAAAATATATATACTTATTTATTAAATATAGTTTTAGTATATTCATCTTTAAAATATCCTTTTAACAGTCAATGTTTTGAGAGCTAGTTAATTTTTTTCGCACATTGTCAAATTCTTTTTATTTTAGCGTTTGTACTCAGGTGCTTCATACGAAGAAGGGGTAACTAGTTTACTTTAGGAAAATCCCAGTAAGCACAGGACGTTTTTAAAAACGTTTAAAAAACTTATTAAAACGGATATTAACGTTTTTTAAACGTTTTAAAAACAATCTATGCTTACTGGGATATACCCACCCTGAGCGTATTAAATTTCATCAAATTCATTTGTTTATTTAATTTCATTTATTTCTTAAGAAAATTATTTGCTGATAAAAATAAATACTTATTAGTAACCAGGCTTTAAAATGTCAAGTTTAAACTAACTAATCAAAACGAAAGTTTTCATTGTAATCAGCTCTTAAAAGTTAACAAATAATAAACAAGAATTCAATAAGTTATTGAAAGTTTGTATTGAAAACTGAATAACATATAGTGTTATTATTAGATATTTTAAAGTCGTTTGTCCGCAATTCGATCCCAGAATCCTTATTTTTAATATATTTAATATATAAGTAAAGAAAGCAAAACGGTACCTTCGGTATTTCAAAAACGGGCATTAAAAAACTACAAAATTCACAGATACCGTGTTATTTTGAATTTTTTCGCTGTTTTTTCTCTGTAACTTTTTAACGATGCATGATTACCAGATCAATTAGAGAATTAATCAAATAGAATATATTGTATAAAAGTGCAATAAAGCAATGCTGGATTTTTTCTCATCAGATTATTGTTGATTTGAACGTTTGTCAGGTGGTGTATTTAAAAAAAAAAAAGAAAGAACTAATGATTCAATTACTAATTGCAAATAATGGATAAAAGAAAAATTAAGCTTTTGAAATTAAAAAAGTTTATTAGATCTATATTTAAAACCGCAATGGTACTCTATTGAAAGTACCAAAATAACAAATATGAGTTTTAGTACCACGCTAATACCAATAATTAAGCTATTAAATTGTCAACAATTTTTGACGAGAGATATCACATAATACTTTATAAGTAGATTTTAAATTTCTACAAAAAAAATGATGCTCTATATTAATATTTTATTTTAATACAATATTACTAAAAAAATCTTTAACTTATCTCGGTTACATTTAAAATAAAAATGTATAAATACTAGCATCTTATAAAGAATAACTAATATCATGATTATTAAACTTTTTACTTAAACAAAAATATAAAATCTACTATTTGTAAACTCTATGTTTTTTATGATTTCACAGACCTCCGTTGGTTATAACTTTCAATTTGATATTTGCTAAAGAAAGTTAAAGTAAGTACTACTAGTACTAACTTTAAACGGAGGTCTGTGAAAATAAAACCTAATGATATTTTTGTTGAAAAAAACCATTTTCACAAAAAACATCAGATGCAAACAACAAAATAAATAAAACAGCATTAGCTGGTCTTTTGAATGCTTTTTTTTTACTAACTTGTACTGATAAACCTTCTTGTTCTTATATACTGTCAGTTTAAACTATTTTGTTGATGTTGGAAAAGTAAATTCATGCTAACCAAATTAAAATATGTTGACAAGGGATATGACATGTGAAAAATAACGTAACAAAAGAATTACTATTTTATATAAAGTTATTTTAAATAATTAATGTATGTTGTTTTTTTTTCTTTATAAACAGGCTCATAAAATACTTAGTTGGAATGATTATAAAAAATATAAAATAACGAGACGAGATCCATAACTTTGCAACGGCTATTGATACGCGTACTTGTACTAGTGTAAAAAAATCGTTAAGAAAATTTCTGCTGCATGAAATTTTATTCAGTTACAAACTACTGAGTCAATTATTGCTTTAAACATTTTGTAACTATAAACAATCAATATTTTGAATGGCGCATAAGATGTACTGCTATATCATCGCTGCATATCAAAACTGCCCTGTCTAATTTTTCCATCTTGTAGATATCGACAGTTTTTTTTTTTAAATTAGGACTATAACTCCTCAAGGTATCATTTCAAATATGTTATTAGTTTCTGGTGCACAATTTTTTGTGTGAAAATTTCACTTAGGTGTTTCCATCTTAATTTTTGAATTTTTTTAAATTTAGATAATAAAAATTACAAAAATAAAATGTATACTAACAAAAATTATTTACTGTATAAAATATTTCAAATTAGGCTGATATAAGAAAAAAAAAAATTAAAAAAGGCATTGCTTTTTATAAAAAAAATGGATTTTATTCCAAAAATTAAACATTCATTAATTTATAATTAATTTTTCTCAAGAAAAAACAATCTTTTTAAGGTACCTAATTCTAGAAGTGTATTGCTCAAAGTTGAGGTAAGAGAACATTTAAGTTTATCACTGTGAAATTTTGTTGATTTTTTGTTTGATAATTTTAAACGTTTTTATATTCTATAAATTTAATTTTTTACCTTGAAATTGCATCCAATGTAAAAGTATTGGCAAGGAATAACTGTATTAGCGCAACTATCAGTGATATGGGTTGACATCTATAAATTGATGTTAAAATAGTTTATTTACCAAATGTAACAAAATATTTTTTTTTAACTAAAACTTTTTCTTCAATTATTATTTAAACCTCTTTACGCAGAATTTTCATGCCACATTGATTTACACAATAAAGTGGTAGAGATTCGCAAGTTTCCAAGTGAGTCTAAATGTAGTTTTACAAATCAACTATTATATTTTATAAAAAACAAAATTTTTTTCTTCATATTTTTGACTTGATAAATATTAACTTTCATTAACATGCTTATTAATAATTATCATCATTATCATCATCTATAAAATTATTACCATCTTCAACATCACAGATAATAATATTTATCATAGCTATGATTAAATGCTAGCAGATACAAATAGCACTATTAAATAATTTTAATTTCTGGTTTTAATTTTAAGAACAAAATTCCACAATACGGATTTTTAGAAAAAAACTATTTTAGAATTAAAAATATTTTTTTAATTATGCATTGATGCAAATACATTTACTCTTAATCTTAAAGTTAGCATCAGATGACTTTGTCTTATTATCAAAGCACATGTTTAGATAAAATAGGACTATATAATGGTCGCATAAAACTTTATTCAAACCAGTAAAATGTGGTTTAATTATTAATATTTTTAATTTTTACAAAAAAAAATAACAAAACAAAAACAAAAAAAATGCTCCCTTATTAGTTACCAATACCGTTCTGAAAAAAGTTGCAGCTAAAAAAAAAAAAAAACTACTCACTTTAAGAAATTTCAAAAAGAAAAACTAAAACTAAATTTCCTTCAAAGTTATAACTTAGCTTTCTACTAACTTTATTTACTATTATATTATTAAAATACTAGTTGTCAATCTTACTAAGGGGTCGTCCATAAAGTACGTAGGCCAAAAATTTTGAAATTTGACCCCCTCCCTCCCCCCTGTTGCCATGCGTACTTCTAAGTCTTTCGCCCCTTAAAAAGTACGTACGTTTTTGAGATCCCCTTTCCTTACATTTTTTTTTAATGAAAAAATTTAGAGAAAAAAAAAAAAAAAATGTGGATGAGGTACCTTAGATACTTTATACGACCCAAAAGCTCTTTGTTTGCGGCACAAAATCCCAATTTAAATAACGTCTTCAAATATATATGCAAATATTAATTTTAATAAAGTTAAATTATAGGATATTAATGAGTTTGCTTGGTTAAGCGGTTAATGATGAGGACTTCGCCTGTGTTCGATCCCCGATCAAGCCATACTGTACTTTTTTCTGTTTTAAGATGGTAGACCACTATTAAAAATCAAAAAAATCATTTTTTTATATATAATAATTTTAAATAATATAACTTTCGTAAAATACGATTTTTAAGTTAGTTTAATGAAGAAAATTAGCTAACAACATTAAAAATCATTTTTTTATAAAGCGGTATAAGTGAACACTTGTATTTTTCCATAGCAACGCTTTGTTTATTTCGTTGCTATGCAACTGAAAAGGAAATTATATTATATATTTTTAATTTAAAATACCAGATGAAGTGATTGAAACTCTAAAACTACTTTTTGTTTATTTAATAACATTTTTGGTTATGGTTATATTTTTGCATATGGCTACATGGGTTTTATTAAAATTTTCAACTATAGTTGCTGTTTTCTGTATCACTCTACATTTATCCTATCACTTTGTTAAATAATATTAGTAATTGAAAAAAATTGTTAAAAAAAAAAGAAATGAAACAAGACATAGTAAAAAATTTATACTCTTTAAAGAAAACCAAATCAATTAACAAACAATGCAGTTGAAGAAAATGTATATAATTTGCAAGAACTAAAATTTGAATTTAGAATAGAAAAAACAAAAAAATTTCATGTGTACATTCAGTTACAGCAATAAATAATCTGTAAAAATTATAAATAATGGTTTTGTAAATAAAAGCAATAGTTCTGCTAATTACGATCAGTTCAATGTTTCAAATGATTACATATTTATGAACACCGACATACGAGTTAAAATAGTTGCCATTGTTTGCTATCAATAATTTTCTACAATGTAACTTTTATATTATAACTTTGTATGATGCTCAAAACAATATTGATTACAAAAATGTCAGAAGTTTTATTCTACCAAAACTATAAACAAAACAGCAGCAATTAATTTTTGATACTTTTTTTTTTGTACAATATTAGTTTTTTGAGAAATAATGGGTAAAGAATACCATAGTATAGAAAAGTTTAGTGGTTTTATGAACTTTTTTTATCAAGTACAAAAATTTTTTTACTTGTTAAACAAAGAAAGTATAACAATTACATAGCTAAAGCTGCATCAAAGAAGTTCTGAAAATAAGTTATATTCCAAAAATAAAACTATAATGATCACACGGTAGTTAATGAGATTTCTATTATGGTGCATAATAGTTTTAGTTTATATATATATATATATATATATATATATATATATATATATATATATATATATATATATATATATATATATATATATATATATATATATATATATATATATATATATATATATATATATTTAGTTTATATATACTTGATATTCATTTACTAATAATAACTGTTGACATAAAACTGATAGGAGTTTTTAATTGAAACTAAATTACAAATCAAAAGCGATGCTTAATTTTTTTTTCAAATGAAACCTAACTTTGAAAATATTAATCTGTCTGTTAATGAAACTTTTTAAAACAATTTTTTTCATAATTTTCTCTACTTTCACTTCAAAACACTCTTAATATAAATTGATATTTGTCAATAGGGTTTTTATGTGAGTTATTTGAAGAATTTTATGCCTTTTTTTTGTTTAAATGTGTTTTTCTCAGTTCTTTAGAATTCACAACTTTGTGGTAAATATCTCAAAATTTCCTTAATCGATTTACATGAAATTTTCAAGAGTTGTTCTTTTTTTAGTTCTGGATGTCCCCTACCACTTTTATCACATTTAGCCCAATTTGGTCAAAAACGTCTTACTTTTTGATTTTAGTGTTATTCTTATAAAAAAAAAATCTGCTTAGTATAATTTTTTTGATTTTGTACATGATTTTTATTATTGTATTTAAAGTAAATTTAGAAAATTTCAAGTTAATAGCTTCAATAGTTTTTGAGATAATCACCGCGACGAAATAATGATATTTTGGGGGTTTCTGAGACCATGTTTCTAAAACCAAAAAAAATTTTTTACTTTTTTTATAGTTTTGTCATTCAAGATTAAATTTTAATCAATTTATATGTAAATAATATCTAAAATATAAATTTTAAAAGGTTTGATTTATTCAGTGGTCTACCACCCTAATGACGAATCAAATAAAAATAAACTATACATAAGGCTTAAGTTTTTTTCAGGCACCCCTATTTAGTAAGTCTGTAAGTCTTACGCAAGATCAGTAATATCAAAAACAAAGTCTAAAACCCAGTGCCGAGGAAAGGCTACCCTTACCCCTTATTTTGTATGGGGGGAAAGGAAAGGGGCAGAAAATTTTGTGCTCTTTTTCTAATTTAAGGAATTTTTTTTAAGCAAAATCCAGGGGTAAAATTTGGGAGATTTTAAGACCCATATGACACGTTTTATTTTTTGGGAGAGGGAGCCTACAATCCATTAGCCACAACACTGTTAAAACCTGTTTTTGTCGATTAAAAAAATAAGCTGCCTAAAAATACGTCTTACTTAGGGCCAGTAAATAAGGGGTGGCATTTGTGCATGGGCGCCAGCAGAATATTTTGATGTTCTAGATAGGACAATTTCACACATATGGCATAGGTTTACTTAAGTTTGGAACTCCAAACATAAGTATGCTTATGCCAAGCGTGTTAAATTTGTGCAAGCTCTAAAACTTAAGTATAACTATGCCAAATGAGAAGGTCTTGCAAAAAATTAGGATGGCGGAGGCCTGAAAACGCAAGAGCCCTAAAAAGCTTGCCTTCCCTGCCCAAGCGTGAGGGCTATAATGTAGTAAAATTTCAACTTTACCATCTAAAACTAAATTTAAATTTATTGACAGATTTTAAGTTTTATAGAAAAATATTGTAAATATATCATAACAAAAGTTATGATCATACAAAATTTAATTCACCTCATTTTTGTGTGTGTGGTTGTGGTGGGGGAGGGGGGGAAGGGGCGTTTTTGCTCCCAACTTTAAAACGTTTTACATTTTTCTTAAGTAAACATACTTAAGAAAATTGTAAAACGTTTTTTAAATTGAATAATTTTTATGAACGTTATCAGAACTCTTTGAAAAAATGTAATAACGTATATTTTAAGTATAGTGTATTGGTGTTTGCAAAGAATCATTATATAAATGATTTTTTAATATAAATTAATTTTTTTTAAGTTTGTTGCGCTTAACCATTCCTATATAAACAATATGTATATATATATATATATATATATATATATATATATATATATATATATATATATATATATATATATATATATATATCTTATACTGCTGAGTTAGGTGAGCATGATGATGTCATATTCACCTAATGTCAAATATCCTGCTGCCGGGGGCTTCAGTACATACATCGACTGACAAATAGCCTGACTGGCCGTGGAGTGCTGCTACATCGACTGAGGGTTTGGTATGGGTCAGCAACCTTTTCATTCATTATTCTTCGTTTTCCCTCATTGTTTTCTAAAAGCGCTCACTTAAATTAGGCTAGCAAAAAAAGTGAGCTAATGCGCATATAAATATGCTATAGTAGATGGCCTTTTCAGCTTAGAAAATAATATTCAATACAGGCAGATTTTTCTAAAAAAAAGTCATTTTGAATGTAAGAATTTTCTAACATTTTTGGCAATTAAGGGATAAAAAAAACATTTGAATGACATTACAAGTAAAAGTTTTTAACGTTTTAAGATTTTAACGTAAGCATTTCTTTCATTTATTTTAAACTTGATTGTTTTCTGAAAAACGAAAAAATGGAATAATTTTAAAAAATTTTGATTTTTCTCATGAATGGAGTTATTATATGTTCAAACGAAAACTAAAAAAAGTAATATTCTCAATTGAAAATATATTTATATACTTTTAATTTTACCCAGTTTTGTCAACACTCATTTATATTTTACTTTTATACAATATTGATTTAAAGTTTATGTCAGAAACTGTAGTTAAACATCGTTATTTGAATTTTGTTAAAAGTTCCACTGACATTATTTG